ATTAGCATGGGATATCTATGAATATGCCAGATTAACATATTCATAAACCCTTCATTCGGTGAATGAGTAAGAATTATTTGAAGTCATTTCTAGGCCACGAGAAGTACCATTAGAACCAAACATTAGGTTAATGAAGTAAAAAATGTGGTGTACGTTTTCATATGGTGTCCAGAATCCTGAGAGGTCTGTTAAACTGCTAAAATTAGATTTAATTCATTAGTTTATATATTGTATGAACATTAGACTCTTCCATATATTGGGGTTTTGTATGAAAGCAGMAATATACAATGCACTTTTTATGCAAATACATAAAACGTCTGAAGTATGTCGAAAATTCAATGTCTTCGACTAGGGGTTCCCAAACTTTTCCATGCCAAGGCCCCCCAAATAACTTAAGTTTTTGGCTGGGGACCCCCTTTCAAGTTGGCAATAAAATACATCAATATGTAAAGAAAAATCAACTTTTAGGAGTTTTTTCTCATTTTTATTCACTTTTAATTAGCGGTAAAGCCATACTTAATGCTGCCTCAAACGACCTGATTTTACTTGGCCAGGAGTTTTTTAAGCAGTGTCCTCCAGGGCTGCTAGTCAGTTCATTTGGCCTTTTTTTTGTCACAAACTTGTCCATTGCTATGCTGGCTTCAGACTGAAAAAACTCTGTCACTAGCCTCGGGAGAACTGCCAMCCTATAGTTTCCTGGGTGGTTCTTGCACGTTTAGTGCTGAGAGTGGGAACAAACCCGGAACAACAACAAAAGAGAGATGGATGGTTGTAGCAAAATCAAAGACATTCTTACCTGCCTGAAAATACTTGTTATTGAATGTTTGTTCGTTTGAAAAGTTATCCAAACATTTATTTGTCACCATATATATTATATAAAATNACAAGAGACCAAAGAAGGAACTGTCCAGTGCTAAGATCCAGTCATCCGCCTAAACAGATTCCATATTTTGAGTTGTTAGAACTGTATCTGTGAGCCTTATCACAATTATTTTGGTTTAGCTCTAAGATTGGTATGATTTGTTTTATTATATTGAAATATTTCAATTGAGATTAAAACTGTTGCTATTCACCCGCATTTCTTTAACTGTGCTTTATTTTTTATTTCTGCATTAGGTCACACCACATTAAGTATTACAKTCTCTAAATACTCCCTTTTCACTCTTAAAAAATCACAATCACAGATGATTACCTAATTTCCCTCTGGGATCAATAAAGTTTTTTGAATTTGAATTGGAATTGGTTCAAACCACCTCTGCTGGTTTGATTCTGGTAATTTGATAAAGAAACCTTCTGAATGTCTTTAAAGGGAGGTGTTTCAAATCTGCCACTTTGGGAGGAGACCTCAGAGCAGACCCTGGACTTGCTGGAGAGATTATATCTCATGTAGACAATGCTCAATTTCAAATGACATGGCACCCCAAACCATCACTGACTGTGGAAACTTTACACTAGACCTCAAGCAACATGGATTCTGTACCTCTCCTCTCTTACTCCAGACTCTGGGACCTTGGTTTCCACTAGAAATGCAAAATTTACTTTTATCAGAGAACATAAATTTGGACCACTCAGCAGCAGTCCAGTCCTTTTGAGTCTGCCCAGGAAAGATGCTTCTGATACTGTCTCTTGTTCCAGAGTGGCTTGAAGTGTGCAGCATGCTGCATCCAAACTGCCAAGATCGGATTGTCGCAGTTCCATGATGAAAATTGCATCATTCTGTTCGCATTGTCCCCTTCCACATAATAACTTATTGTGTGATTGGTCAGAAGTTTGTGGGAGTGCTCATTAATGCTGAAAACGTTTGGATGCTGTATTTTACTTAAACCAATAAAAAATAATGTCTCTCAAAAGCTGACTGTTGTAGGCTACCAGGAAGCAGACATTTATAAAGATAGTCAAATGGTCAAAAACTTATGGATGGAGATCAGACATTGTGCACAGAGGAATCTGTCTGATAAAAAATGTGTGGCTTTAACCGTGACAGATTTATGCACAAATTACATCTTGTGACGGGTCTCTNCTCTCTCTCTCTCTCTCTCTCTCTCTCTCTCTCTCTCTCTCTCTCTCTCTCTCTCTCAAACATGGTTCAGTCCATTGTGCCGGTTGGAGCTGCTCCGGAGTCAAGCTACAGATCATGTGGCACCAACAGGAAAAGGAACAGACACAACATCCGCATTTTCAAAATAAGTCAGGAAAATTTGTCCAAGTCCTAGCTATATTAATAATTATATAAGTATATTTATACACAGATACTGTCACAATGCATCGTTCTGTTTGGGAAGCAGATGGCAACATGTAGCATGCAGAATATGCAGACACACAATACACGTGGATTTTATTTTGAAATCAGAAGTTTGAGAACTTTTAGCTAAACTGAGCTTGTCTAAACTTTTGTGAAAACAGTAGAAAATAAGTAAATGTTGCTTCGCCTCGTCCCCTGGATGTAACTAATAGACAGCACCTGAGCCTGGGATGGGAATCTCTCCTCCCGTGGACAAAGCTGGTTTCTCTTCCTTCACCTCTGCAGCTTCTCTCCCACAGGAGCTCAGACAGCAGCTCTCAGCCACAGGTAACTGTTACATCTGGTTGACCGATGCGTCGGGTTTGGAAATGTGGTCATATGTAGGCAGCTTTCTGTGGCTTTCTTGAATCGCTTTAACAGTATCGCTTCACGCTGTTTCCCGCTTCAGAAAAAAAGTAGAAAACAAAACAAAAAACTATCTCTGAATATAACCTGTACCTCCCCCTTTGTCCAGTCTTTTGTTTTTCTGCATTTTAATTTCTTTGACGTGATTACCACTACAGTCTGCTTAAATCAAATCCATATTATTTGCGCTGTTTTTATTTAGGTAATAATTGTTTTAACAGTGGCAACAGCTTGTTGTGATTGACAGCTGCATCTCTGCCTCCTCTCCAAAAATAAGTCAGAAAAAAATAGTGACCCATCACATCGAAACGAGGATTAAGTCCAAAACTGGTGTATGGAGAAAAAGGCAAATATAGTGTTTTGAAATGTTAACAAAAATTGAATTTTGTCAAAATATAATGAATAAATGCCTTATCAATGTATCATTTGAATGAACTGTCTGAAATATAATCATAAAACACAATTTTGAAGCATTTCTTTGAGCAGTAG